GCAGCGGAGTTTAGGTCCAGACACGGCTAGTGACGTCAGACTGAACAACCGGATAGGAAGAAATCTGGGGCGGGTCAAGAAATTGCACAGTACTATATGGTCCAGTCTAATAGAAAAGAAGGCATTTACTGTTCAGTGTCACTCTGACACAGACTGTCTGCAGTGTTGACAATGTGACACGGATAAAAATAGGCAGAGATTTGCTTAATGTGGGAGTTAAAGGACATCCCCAGGTCACAGAAAGTACGAATGGATCAAATGTTACTAGCTTGACAACAGAGAGGGTTATCATCTGACTTCACAGTTCCCTCTGCTCCACAAAGCGTTTTAGTGTCTGTATTTCTATGGCTTACACCTTTTAATGCAAAAAAGAAGCAAAAGCACACAGAGACTTACCTTGGTTAGGTTTTTCTCTGGAATTAGTGGCGTTGGCAACAAGAGTGTAAATATTGGCCATAAACATGTCAAGTGCCAGGCAACAACATCTCAAATGAATACTAATGTTACTGGTAGATGCATGAAAAGGTGATAACACATCAGCCATAACAGCCAGAGAAGGTGATAACATCTTACTGTTATATTTATAGTTTGCACGCCAACCACCAGAAGCCATAAAGACATTTTTCCTTATTTAATACAACAGATGTCATTTGTGAATGATTTAATCAATTGTAAATCCTTTAAAATGTTACAAATTTCTGAAAAGCTCTTTGAAGTTTATTCAGTGCAAACACAGAGTTTACTTTGAACTGAAAAATTTTCCTATTATTTTTTTTTCTTTCCAGCAAATTGAGCAACCTCACTCACTACAAACAGTCACGATTACCTCTCTTTTGTTTTCTTTAACAACTCTGCCCTGCCTATGATTTTCTTCCTTTATGTGTTTTCCTTCTTTATATGTCATGTTTTATTCTTTTAATTAAATAATTTTTAAAAAGAGAATCTTTGAGGTGGAAAAATTGTCACATAAGAATCTGAAGCCTGTGAGTATAGCCTGTGAGTATTGGGCTTTTTTGGAAAGATAAATGACATAAAGCAGCTCTGTTAACAAAATAAATAGAAATGTTGTAAATTTACAAAATGGTTTATTGGCAACTCCTATCAGCACTTTCAGGACTTCTTTTCCAGTTAAACATGAGGTCAGCATACCTTGCTCTGTAGTCTTCACAATGCACAAATTAAATTACAGCTCCTGATTAAAACAGATTATGAGTCCTTGTTATTCTATTACCGTAAGTCTTCCACTAATCCTTCATAACGATGTTGTAATCCCAGTGTTCACAGGGATTGAAATAAAACCGAAATTACTTTGCCAAGCTCTCATAAAGTTTTATTTGCTTTTTGATGTCTACATTTCTGTTTTATCTGTCATGTTCAGCAGTGAGAGACGTGATCATGAGGGTAATGTGGAAGTCCATGGACAAGATGAGGTGCTTCAGGAAACGATCCATCTTCCCTTTCCTCGGCTTTCTCATCGCCTTTCTGCTCTTTTTCAACCATTATATGGATGATGGATATGTGCTGGTAACTTTAATCATGTTGTTGTTTGTTTTGTTTTTTGAAATTTTGACTCTTATGCCTGAAGTGTTCCTACAGGTGTTACTCTTTGTGTTTGCATGTTTGTGTGTGATTTAGGAGGCTGAAAAAAGACAGCTAGGAGAGACGCTGATCCATCCTCCGAACTCTGAAAGATACGTGCACACGTTCAGAGACTTGTCCAATTTCTCTGGGACCATTAACGTGACGTACCGCTACCTTGCGGGGCTTCCTTTACCACGTAAAAGTAGGCATTTCTACCAGATACCAGTTTGAATTCATTTTTACTTCGAACAGGAAAATATTTACTGACTGAACTAACTGTTTTTCACTGTTGGAACAGAGTACCTCACCATTGGCTTGTCGTCGGTCAAGAGGAAAAAGGGAAACTACCTCCTGGAAACGATCAAATCCATATTTGATCAGTCCAGTTACGAGGAACTGAAAGAGATTGTGGTTGTCGTCCATCTGGCGGACTTCGACCTGGTCTGGTGTGAGAACCTGGTGCAGGAAATCACCAGGAAGTTTGCACACCACATCATAGCTGGACGTCTCTTAGTAATCCAAGCTCCAGAGGAGTACTATCCGTCTCTGGACGGATTGAAAAGGAACTACAACGACCCAGAGGACAGGGTCCGTTTCCGCTCCAAGCAGAACGTGGACTACGCTTTCCTGCTCAACTTCTGCACAAACCTCTCCGACTTCTACATGATGTTAGAGGACGATGTGCGCTGCTCCAGGAACTTCCTGACGGCACTGAAGAAGGTGATCACCTCCAGAGAAGGTTCCTACTGGGTGATGTTGGAATTCTCCAAGCTGGGCTACATCGGGAAGCTGTATCACTCCAGAGACCTGCCGCGCTTGGCTCATTTCCTGCTCATGTTCTACCAGGAAATGCCCTGCGACTGGCTCCTCATCCACTTCAGAGGCCTGCTTGCACAGAAGGACGTGATCCGCTTCAAGCCTTCGCTGTTCCAGCACATGGGCTACTACTCCTCTTATAAGGGTGCCGAGAACAAGCTGAAGGACGATGACTTTGAGGAAGACTCCATAGACATTCCCGACAACCCCCCCGCCAGCCTTTACACAAACATCAATGTCTTTGAAAACTATGATGCCACCAAGGCTTACAGCAGTATTGTTGATGAGTATTTTTGGGGGAAACCTCCGTGCACTGGAGACTTCTTCATCATAATCTTTAACAAACCAACAAAAATCACCAGAATTAAAATCCTGACCGGCACAGAGGACAGACAAAATGACATTCTTCACCACGGAGCTCTGGAAGTGGGCCAGAAGTCTGTGGACACCAAACAGGGCAGGCAGTGCACATCCTACATCACACTGGGGGAGTTTAAAGTTGGAAACATTGAGGTTAACAATGTGGACCACAAGATAGGCTTTGATATTGAGTGCGTACGAATTGTCATCACTGCCAGCCAGAAAGAATGGCTCATCATAAGAAGTGTCAGTTTATGGACCGCGCAGCCTGTCGCTCAAATATAGAAATAAAGCTTTTTAAATGATTCTCTGCTCGTGGTGATTTTGGATGCAGATGCTGTGACTTCATTTGGGACTTCTACTGTTTGCTGAATTCAAATCAATCCACATTTTTCTTGGGTTGGCCAGAGATCTGCTGTATGTTTTCATTGTGATGTATTAAATTGACTGATGTGTACAGTATGGAGCTTTTATACTTCTGTTCATTTTCAGAAAATCTGTGTATAAAAATATTCAAACTTGGCTGGTATTATATCTCTTTTTTTTTCAATTAGTGAACCCCAAGGGTTTTTCCACAGAGTCTGTGGTTCAAAAGATAAATTTGCTGCTTACTTTTTAAATCCACAGTGGGGGGCAAAATACACAAGTGTAAAATAAACAAAAACATTTTTATGGCACAAAGACTCATCAGCTACCTTTTTGTTAGTATTGTCTAACAGAAGTGAGCAAGAGCATAGAATAGCTGTTACCTACATCTAATATTAAACACAGTTTTCAAAAATTATAGGGAAGTGTTTTCAAAGCTCATTAAACTATGCGTGATGTGTCGAGTGAGGACTTCTAAGTTCCTGAGATAGAGCTGTCTGACAATCTGTTAATGATTTACAAAAAATAAGGTTCCACCTGCTGTTCAGTGTAAGTACATGCCTAAAAAAGAGAAGTCAAGCTGTGTAATACTGTTAAAATAATTTCAGACGATCATCATCCCTGAATTGAGTAAAAAGAATCTACCACCTGTGTGAGGTTACTCTAACAGATGCAAAATGAACTGGCAAAAAAATTAGATGGACAAGAAATTTAATTAAATACTATAATATTAACTACAAGCTCTCGTTTTTGTCATTAGGTCATTTTTGGTGAGTTTTAAACGAATCTGTGAGAGTTGACAAATATGCTCTTTGGAGTACCTTGCTGCCACCTTGTGGTAAATTATAAAAATAACAACGGAAAATATACAGATTACCTATTGACCTAAGAGGTACATATATCATAAAATATGACCAAAATTGTGCATTAAAGGTGTATAGACTGTTATATATATAATAATAATAGTCTATACACTATTAATTACAAGTAAAATAAAGAGTAACTTTTAAAAATCTTATAACTCTAACAGGCAGCGCAGAAAGTGAAGCACCTAAATTATAATGTCATAATTTACACCCTCTGTTTCATGCAGCGATATGTCAAAATCTACAAAGCAAGAGTAAACCACAGTTTTGTCCTGAAGAGTTATATCAGAATTATACATAAAGTGTGAAATGTGCCATAGTATGTTTTTTGTATGCGGTACCACGGGCCACACTTTGAGAAACCTGGCTCTAGAGCTTAAATGATTAAATATTTATATTTTAACATAATACCATTTTGGAACTTTTTATAGTAAATCTGTGTGTGTGTGTGTGTGTGTGTGTGTGTGTGTGTGTGTGTGTGTGTGTGTGTGTGTGTCCCAGAAAGATTCACAATTTTGCCTGAAGATGCTTCACCATCTGGGAAACTTATGGGACATAATTCTTCTTTCAGGATGAACAGATATGCAAATAAATATCATGCATAGTAAACAGAAGGAATATCATTATGCTGCAGAGGCGCGGGGCTGACTGTAAATAAACAAAGTGCAACCATGTATGAAGCACAGTAATCCATGAAGAATGTCCCTGCTCTGGTCGGAGAATGTTACAGGTGTCGTCTGCGCTGCAGCTTCTCCTCTGCGTGAGTCCCCTTCAGGTGTTGAGGTTGCCAGAAATAAACAGATGGCATGATTACTGATGGAGCCAAACACCAAATGAGTTTTCAGCTCACAAGAACTAAGTTCAATGCTTTTCCTTCATTTTTATTCATCCTGTGCACATCCTAAACCTCATTTTCAGCAGCAATCTTCTGGGACATTTCTCCTCATGCTTCGGTTCAGGTGTAAGTGTTTTTTCACCTTTTACTTTGTGATGTCTTCCTCTTGAGGCTTACATTATATTCACTTATATCTGTCTCCAGGTAGCTTCCAGTCTACTGTATTGTCCCTTTCATCCTTTTCTCATCACATTCACTACCTCCTCTTGCTTTTTTTTTAAAAAAAATCACCTTCTGCCGCCCTGACCTCCTACCATCATGTGCAATCCAAATCACTCTCACATCAGCGTCCCCCTGCACTTTTAGAAGAGAAAGATTACAGAACCACTATTTTTCAACCTTATAGCAGACATCTGTTTATTAATATTCCTATTTCTTCAATTACTTGGAAATATTAGGACCTGATAAGTTAAAAAATTGTAAGCATGAATTTATTTGACTGTGCCTGACAATAAAACTTAATTCTGTGCGTCAACATGGTTGTCTAGAAATTATAATGTACAGTCATGTGAAAAGCTAAGTACACCTTTAATGCTCTGCACTTGATTAACTAATCACCAAGTGTGACAACCTCTGTTAAAACAAAAGCTAGTAGTTTGCAGGTCTGGAGCATTCAGGCATGTGTAAAAGCAACACCATAATCTTCTCAGGAGTGGACGTCTCAGCAAACTCATGCCAAGATCAGACTGTGCAATGTTCAGAAAAACTGCAGAAAAACCCAAGAACTACATCTCACTCTATAGGTCTCAGTTAGCATGTAAAATGTTAAAGTTCGTGAGAGCAAAATTGGAAAAAGACTGAACAAGTATGGCTTGTTTGGAATCCTTCCCAGAAAGCCTCTTCTCTCTGGAAAGAACATGGCAACATGGCGTAGATCTGCAAAGTTACTAATGTAAACAAACAGATGAGACCAACATTTGGCCATAATGCACAGAACCAAACACAGCCTATCAGCACAAACAGCTCACACTGACTGTCAAGCACAGTGTTGTCGGAGTGATTGTTTTGCAGCCACAGAGTCTGGGCACCATGCAGTCAACCATGAATGCCTCTGCATGCCAAAGTATTCTAAAATCACATGTGAGGCTGTTTGTTTTGCCCAGACTGGGTCATGCAGGACGAGGATGCAGCTCAGGAGAGCAGATCATCTACTTGTTGGAAGGTTGGTGCTTCAAACTCTGGTTGCTCCAGTCTGCATGCCAAAGTATTCTTGGGCAAAACACTGAACCCTAAATTCCTCTGATGCATTTACTGAATTCAATTCCATTCAGTTTTATTTATATAGTACCAAATTACAGCAACAGTCACCTCAAGGCGCTTTATATTGTAAGGTAGACCCTACAATTATACATATAGAGAAAAAAAAACAACAATCAAATGAAATGATTGATTGAGTACAAATGTGCATGAATGTTAGATAGAAAGCACTTAGGTGTAGAAAAAAGTGCTAGTTTGAATGGGTGACATGTTGTATAAAGCGCCTTCAGGGATAAAGTCGAGCAGAAAAGTGCCTTAAAGTAACCAGTCTGTTTAACAATGGCTGAAAAAGAAAAGTCACAGTCCAGACTTAAACCTGATGAAATGTGACATTGAAAGCTTAAGAGAGCTGTGTATATCCAAATACCTGCAAACCTCAATGAACTAAAGCAGTGCGATTGATAAAAGATGTTTTGTATGTCATTCAGTGAACATTAGAGGGAGTGCAGAATTATTAGGCAAGTTGTATTTTTGAGGAATAATTTTATTATTGAACAACAACCATGTTCTCAATGAACCCAAAAAACTCATTAATATCAAAGCTGAATGTTTTTGGAAGTAGTTTTTAGTTTGTTTTTAGTTTTAGCTATTTTAGGGGGATATCTGTGTGTGCAGGTGACTATTACTGTGCATAATTATTAGGCAACTTAACAAAAAACAAATATATACCCATTTCAATTATTTATTTTTACCAGTGAAACCAATATAACATCTCCACATTCACAAATATACATTTCTGACATTCAAAAACAAAACAAAAACAAATCAGCGACCAATATAGCCACCTTTCTTTGCAAGGACACTCAAAAGCCTGCCATCCATGGATTCTGTCAGTGTTTTGATCTGTTCACCATCAACATTGCGTGCAGCAGCAACCACAGCCTCCCAGACACTGTTCAGAGAGGTGTACTGTTTTCCCTCCTTGTAAATCTCACATTTGATGATGGACCACAGGTTCTCAATGGGGTTCAGATCAGGTGAACAAGGAGGCCATGTCATTAGTTTTTCTTCTTTTATACCCTTTCTTGCAGCCACGCTGTGGAGTACTTGGACGCGTGTGATGGAGCATTGTCCTGCATGAAAATCATGTTTTTCTTGAAGGATGCAGACTTCTTCCTGTACCACTGCTTGAAGAAGGTGTCTTCCAGAAACTGGCAGTAGGACTGGGAGTTGAGCTTGACTCCATCCTCAACCCGAAAAGGCCCCACAAGCTCATCTTTGATGATACCAGCCCAAACCAGTACTCCACCTCCACCTTGCTGGCGTCTGAGTCGGACTGGAGCTCTCTGCCCTTTACCAATCCAGCCACGGGCCCATCCATCTGGCCCATCAAGACTCACTCTCATTTCATCAGTCCATAAAACCTTAGAAAAACCAGTCTTGAGATATTTCTTGGCCCAGTCTTGACGTTTCAGCTTGTGTGTCTTGTTCAGTGGTGGTCGTCTTTCAGCCTTTCTTACCTTGGCCATGTCTCTGAGTATTGCACACCTTGTGCTTTTGGGCACTCCAGTGATGTTGCAGCTCTGAAATATGGCCAAACTGGTGGCAAGTGGCATCTTGGCAGCTGCACGCTTGACTTTTCTCAGTTCATGGGCAGTTATTTTGCGCCTTGGTTTTTCCACACGCTTCTTGCGACCCTGTTGACTATTTTGAATGAAACGCTTGATTGTTCGATGATCACCTTCAGAGCTTTGCAATTTTGAGACTGCTGCATCCCTCTGCAAGATATCTCACTATTTTTGACTTTTCTGAGCCTGTCAAGTCCTTCTTTTGACCCATTTTGCCAAAGGAAAGGACGTTGCCTAATAATTATGCACACCTGATATAGGGTGTTGATGTCATTAGACCACACCCCTTCTCATTACAGAGATGCACATCACCTAATATGCTTAATTGGTAGTAGGCTTTCGAGCCTATACAGCTTGGAGTAAGACAACATGCATGAAGAGGATGATGTGGACAAAATACTCATTTGCCTAATAATTCTGCACTCCCTGTATTAGTGGTAATGAGGCCCTCTAGATAAGAGCCAGTAGAGGGCTTATACACCTGCTAGTCAGTCAGAAGGTTTTTATCATCCATTCACATGGAGGACCACTAACAGCAGCACGGGCAGACTCCAGTCCTGCTAAACATTCTCCCGAGACTGTTAATGTGAAAGAGCAACTTGATAAAGCAGATAACTATTTTGTTTTGAGCATTTCCTTCTCCACCTTTTTACACCTTTTCGCTAAAAGGATGAGCACACTTTGCCATCATCGCTGACCAAAGTACAATTAATGAGTACAGTGCAGTTTTATTTATATAGCAGTAATTCACCATAACAATCCTCTCAAAGTGTGTTCTATGTTACAGTAAAGATCCTACAGAGAGAACCACAGTGCTCAAGAATCACTACAGTTATTCACAGACTGTATATAGCATGCAGTCTGGGCTCTAGATAAAGAAATATATTCCAGAAAGGATTCACATTATTAGTGCTAAAAGTCATGTGCTACATATGTGTTATTAAACACAAATATACATGTTTCAATGAACAAACTAAACTATTTTCTTACCTTTATCTCATTGATGAGGACAACATTCACTGTATCTGACTGGCCATATCTGACTCTGTTTTATCTCTGGATAAAAGCACTAAACAGTCAGATTTATAGTGTTTGAAACAACACAATATAATCCAAACAACTTGAAGAACTTTTAGATTTAATTTTGGTGAGCTGGCTGCTATTTTGACACCTTTTGTCCAAGACAATACTGATGAAGCACAAGAAGAAAAATGTGATGCCCTCATGTGCTGGTCTCAGGAGATTAAGAGCATTGATATCTGGCTTGTGTTATTTGTATGTATGAATCTATGC